TGTGTGTGTGTGTGTGTGTGTATATATATATATATGCATGCCACATCATCTTTATCCATTCATCCATCGATGGACATTTGGGCTCTTTCCATACTTTGACTATTGTTGATAGTGCTGCTATAAACATGGGGGTGCATGTGTCCCTTCGAAACAGCACACCTGTATCCCTTGGTTAAATGCCTAGTAGTGCAGTTGCTGGGTCGTAGGGTGGTTCTATTTTTAGTTTTTTGAGGAACTTCCATACTGTTTTCCAGACGGCTGCACCAGCTTGCATTCCCAAAGGAATTTTGAACATAAGACACCCATCCTCATTCATACTAAAAGAATTGTTAATTAAAATGTAATTTTAATTAATTTAATGTAGATGCAACTTCCTACCTGTTAGATGTTCACAGATCAAAAAATGTATCATCACAGTGCTAGAGGGTTGGAGAAACTGGCATGCTCGGACTTCATTGGTAGAAGGGATATTGGTGAAGTCTATAGAGATGAGTTAGTATCTGTTATAGTTGCACGTACTGTTTTATCCTGCAGATAGAGTCAGACAAGTGTGACATAATGTGTTACAAAATTGGTTGTGCAAAATTAGAATTGAAACTGACTAAAATTTTCTGGTAGATCCAAAAGATATTCTAGTATACAGTTGTAAAAAGAAGTGAAACAGCATTTTGTGTACTGATGGGAAATAATATCCAATATAAAGGCAAAATATAGAACAGTGTGTGTAATATTCTACTTTTTATGTAAAAATACAGTGGAGGTTGTATTTTGTGTACAAAACACAAATGTTAAAAACAGATCAAAAACCTAAAACATAAGAGCTAAAACAAGATTGTGGCAGAAACACAGGAGTAAATCATTGTGATTAGGTTAGAGTGTTGCACAGGTGATGGAAGATTGACAGGTTGGGCTTTATTAAAATTAAAAACATTTGTACTTCAAAGGACACTATACAAAAAAACTCCATAGACTGGGAGAAAATATTGCAAATCATGTGTCTGTTAAGGGACTTATCTTCAGAATATGTGAAGAACTCTTAGAACTCAATAATAAGACAACCCAATTAAAAAATGGGCAAAGGGCTTGGGGTGCCTGATGACTCACTCAGTTAAGAGTCTGACTCTTGATTTCGGCATAGGTCATAATCACAAGGTGTGGGATCGAGCCCCACGTTGGGCTCTGCACTGAATGTGGAGCCTGCTTGGGATGCTCTCTCTCCCTCTCATTCTACCCCTCCCTGCTTGCGATCACTCTTTCTCTCAAAAATAAGTAAACATCTGTATTTTTATCATTTTTTATAAACAAACATTTTTTTAAAAAATGGACAAAGCGCTTGAATGGACATTTCTCCAAAGAAGGTGTAAACGTGCCCAATAAGAACATGAAAAGATGCTCGACATGAGTCGTTAGGGAAATGCAAATCAAAACCATGGTGTGATCCTACTTCACAACCAGTAGAGTGGCTATAAAAAATGGCAGGCCATAACAAGTGTTGGCAAGGATATGGGGAACTTGGAACCTTCGTTCGTTGCTGGCGGGAACGTGAAATAGGGCCGTTGCTTTGGAAAACGGTTTGGCGGTTTCCGAAAATGTTAAACATAGAGTTGCCATATGGTGCAGCAGTTCTGCCACTAGGTGCGCACCCAAAAGGAATGAAAACGTAAATCCACACGTTTCGACAAATGTTCATATCAGCTTCATCCTTACTAGCCCCAAAGTGGAAACAACCCCAAATGTCCACCAGCAAATGAATGGATAAACAAAATGTGGTTCTTCCATGCAACGTAATACTGTTCTGTCATAAAAAGGAATGAAATAGTAACATATGCTACAACATGGAGGATCTGAAAAACATTCGGCTACGTGAAAGAAGCCACTCACAAAAGATTGCACAGTCCTATGATCCCATTTGTATGAGATGTCCAGAATAGGCAAATAGCATAGCGGTTGGGCCAAGGGTTGGGAATGACTTGGGAGAACGAGGAGTAACCACTGACGGACATTTTGGGAGATGATAAAAATCTGCCGAAATCGGATTATCGTGATGGTTATAGAATTCTATAAATACATTAGAAGTCATTGTACACTATTTTATTTTTAAGTCATCCCTGCACCCAACATGGGGCTTGAACTTATAACCTGGAGATCACGAGTCACATGCTTCACTGATAGAGCCAGCCAGGTGCCCCTCACTGTGCACTTTAAATGGATGAGTTTTATGATACATGAATTATATCTCAGTAAAGCTTTAAAAAATAGAGTGTGGGGCACCTGGGTGGCTCAGCCGGTTGAGCGTCTAACTTTGGCTCAGGTCATGATCTCATGGTTCATGAGTTTGAGCCCTGCGTCGGGTTCTGTGCTGATAGCTCAGAGCCTGGAGCCTGCTTCAGATTCTGTATCTCCCTCTCTCTGCCCCTCCCCTGCTCGCACTCTGTCTCTGTCTCAAAAATAAATAAAAACATTAACAAAAACAGAGTGTGTATATGTGTACATTTGCTTTTATATGTACAGCATGTTGCCTCTGAGGATAGAAATTGGGCAGAAGGCACACTGCACCATATCCTTTTCTACCTTTTGCCTTTTGAATCTTGTATGTATTACTAATTCAGAAGCCAAAAGTACTGAATGCTGACTATGCTTTCTTCTCCCCTCCACCCGGTCCCCACAATTGCAGGATCGCCTATGCTGACTTCAAATCACAGGCTGATGCAGAGAGGGCCTTGGAAGACAAGCAAGGAACAAAGATTGGAGGGCTTGCCATAGCTCTGGACCCTGTTGGAGAGAAAAGTCAAGGCCAAGAAGAGAGAGGCTGGAAGAACAGCACGTGGAGAAGTAAGGGACGCTAAAGCTCTGTAGACTGAAATTTGCCAGGGTCGGGTTGTCAGCCGGGTTCCCCAGAGAGGGGCTGGAATCAGGATAGGGACACTTTTTTGTTTTTTAAGTTTATTTATTTTGAGAGAGAGAGAGAGAGCAGGGGAGGGGCAAAGAGAGAGGGGAAGAGAGGATTCCAAGCAAGTTCCACGCTGCCAGCACAGAGCCCGACGCGGGGCTCAAACTCACGAACTGTGAGATCGTGGCTTGAGCTGAAACTAAGAGCCGATGCTTAACTGGCTGAGCCACCCAGCGCCCCTCAGGATAGGGACACTTAAATACAATTTCTCCCTGTATTAAAAATGGGTAAGTCCTCAGATCAAGTTAATGAGTATTGTCCTAGTTAACTGTAACCTTGAAGTCTGCAAAAACACAGCACTTTGAGATACATCAGCTTAGCTTCCCTTTTTGGGGGGCTCTCTAGGATTGTGTTTGGACAGGTTCGTAAAGCTGTGGTTTCAGAAATTAGATATTTAATTCTCTTCAAGTAGAGTTTTTGTCAGGTTTAAACCAGAGACCCCAAACGAGTCCCTAATCTGCCTAGTGAGTAGTCATAATGGCTTCTACAGTATTTACAGGGGGGAAAAAACCCCACAATTTATTATGAATATTTTTAAAAATCAAGAAATTTCACATAGAAATCTGGATTTCCAGCTTCTTTTGCTGCTGCGTCAGAAAATCTGGTGGCCCTGGGACTGCATTCCTACATGTCTGCAGTCATCTGCACAGGAAAATCAGAGGCTTCCTCTTAGCTGTTGACTACAACCCCCACCATTCACTAAGTTCTTCCCTAACTGAAGGAGCGAACAGCACACTTACGCTTTGCAAAAATAGAGTCAGTACTTTTTTTTCTTGCAAAGCATTAGCGAAGGTGACGTGTTAATATTTCTTATGCATTTGTCTCTTTCAAAAGTGGGAAAACGAAAGCTAGAACAAGAAAGCCACACATTTCGAGAAAAATGGGAGCGAGCCTATTTCTTTGTGGAGGTAAAGAATGTCCCTACGTGTTTAATATGCAAACAAAGCGTGTCTGTGTCGAAGGAGTATCACCTCAGACACCATTATGAAACAAACCACAGCAGGAACCATGAGGGATATACAGAAAAGATGCGTGATAAAAAACTAAATGAGCTGAAAAAAAGACTGAAATTTCAACATGATGTCCTTTTGAACGTGAATAAAATAAGTGATGCTGCTATGAAATGCAGTTACGTATTAAGTGAGAAAATTGCCCGGGCGTCCAAACCTTTTACAGATGGCGAGTTTATAAAGGAATGTCTATTGAGTGCCGCGGAGATTATGTGCCCTGAACAGAGACACGCATTTGCGAACATAAGACTAAGTGCTGATATTGTTCCGCAGCACGTTGGCGATGTGGCTGGGAACTTACAGGACAAGTTGCGAGGAAAAGGTAAATCATTTGTGGCTTTCTCCATTGCAGCTCATGAAGGGGCTGATGTAGATAATGCCCCCCAACTGGCTGTATTTATTCGTGGTGTTGACGAAACTTTTGATGTGACCGAAGAGCTTTTGGACATGGTACCCATGACAGGCACCTCATCAGGGAACGAATTATTTGTATGTGTTGAGGAAAGTCTTAAAAAATTTAATGTAGACTGGTCGAAATTAGTCAGTGTTAGCACCGATGGCAATTCTGCACTGGTTGGTGTTGAACAACTTGTTACAGAACTTAAATCTAAGGTGTCAGGGCTTTGCAAAGACACAGAGCTTAAGTCTGTGCACGGCCTCATACTCCAGGAGTCACTTTGCACTAAAAAGTTAAAAATGGATCATGTCATGGACATAGTAATTCACACCATAACCTGGATACGTTCCCATGGCTCAGACCACAGAGAGTTCAGTGCTTTGTTCAGTGAGTTAGATGCACAGTATGGAAGCTTGTTCTCCGTGGGACTTAAGTGGCTGAGTCGTGGCATGGTGTTAAGGCGGTTTTTTGAACTGTTGGAAGAAATTGATTTTTTCATGTCTTCTAAAGGAAAACCTGTTCCCCAGCTTACTAGCAAAGATTGGGTCAAAGACTTAGCCTTTCTGGTTGACATTATGACTTACCTAAACATGTTGGATATCTCCCTGCAAAGGCGTTCACAAGTGGTTACGCAGATGTATGACTCAGTTCACTCGTTTTTAATGAAACTGTGTCTTTGGGAGACTCATTTGGCAAGGAACAATCTGGCCCACTTCCCCACGCTGAAATTAGTTTCCGAAAATGAAAGAGATGGCCTGAACTATATTCCCAGAATTAAAGAGTTGAAGACTGAGTTCCAAAAACGGTTCTCTGATTTCAAACTTTATGAAAGCGAGCTGACGTTGTTCAGTTCACCTTTCTCAGTTAATATTAACAACGTGAGCGAGGAGCTACAGATGGAGGTTATTGAACTACAGTGCAACACGATACTGAAAACGAAATACGACTGTGTCGGAATCCCAGAATTCTACAAACACCTTGGGAATGGTTACCCTAAATATAAGAACCATTGTGCAAAGATTCTGTCCATGTTTGGAAGTACCTACGTTTGTGAGCAGCTATTTTCAGTTATGAAACAACAGAAAACTACTAAGTATTGCCCCCAGTTAAAAGATTCAGGGGTGACTTCCCTGCGGCATGTCGCTGCACCAGATACACACCCTGGCGTCGAATGACACCTCGGGGCTTAAGAAAGGAATGTCACGTTTTGGATTTCAAATCTAAGGAGTGATACATTATGAGACTTTGATTATTTCGATTTCCAAATTGTTCACTGTCAAATTTAAACCACAATCTCTGGCATCCTATGTCTGTATCTTATCACGTATAAAATAAAGTTTGATTATACCTTGGCGGTTTATTTTTCCCCTGCCGTACCTTTCTGGCCCTGAAGAGTCATTCACGTTGGTAAACCTCTGCCCTAGAAGCAATCGCGTTTTTCCCAAAGGCACTTGTGAACCGGGGATGTGAACCAGGGAGTCCGCTGGATGAATGGGGTGTTTAGAGGCCTAGAGCAGCTCTATCCCCAAGGATGACAGACTCAGCCCCTCCCTGGAGAGAGCTGGGACAGCATAGCCAATACTGGCCCCTCGGCTTCTCTTTTGGTGCTTCCATTTTGGATTTACACATTTCTTTGAAATTTCAGTGTTGTTGGTCAGCATTAAAAGAAGTTGTGGCTGGTCCCACAGCCATTCTGCCTCTTACAGGCACGGATAGGCATTTCCTCCCCATCAGGGCCGCCCCCAAGGGGATGCAGAATGAGGTGTCCGTGTCGAAGAGCTTATAAGCATCATTCTGGGGAGAAGGCCCATAGGTACCAGCAGCCCCTTACAAAGGTCTGTGACCCAAAATGTGCTTTTCCACTGTGAAATTGGGACATGACTGCTCACTGTTACAGACACTGTATTTTAAATAGTCCAATTATGAGGCGCCGGGGCGGCTCAGTTGGTTAAGCGTCCAACATCGGCTCAGGTCACGATCTCACGGTCCGTGGGTTCGAGGCCCATGTCGGGCTCTGTGCTGACAGCTCAGAGCCTGGAGCCTGTTTAGGATTGTGTCTCCCTCTCCCTCTGCCCTTCCCCTGCTTGTGCTCGCTCGCTCTCTCTCTCTCTCAAAAAAAAAAAAAATTTAAATAGTCCAATTATGAAAGTGAAATGTACTTATTGTAGAACATTTGGAAACTATAAAGAAATAGAGGGAAAAGTCTATAATGTCAACAACCAAAGGTAACCCCTATAAATATTTAAATATGTTTGTTTCCTTTCACTTCCTATGAATTATTTTATATGGTTGAGTGCATTATGTCTGAATCATTTTGTGTTCTGTTCTCCTTCCCCCCTCCCCTCTTAACAGTGAAATCCTAAGCATCTGTCAGTCTTCCAAGCTCAAAGTTGAGTTTATCTGATTGCGTCAGGTGTGTACCGACGGGCCTTTGGCAGCCAGGGTGAGTTCTCTTGGCGTCACATAAGCCATAGGATTGATTTTTCTGTTCTGCCAGGCTCTGAGAAGGCCAGAGAAACACCCTGTTTTCTGGGGGAAGGAATGGGAGATTACGTCTGATGACACTCAGGACAGCCTTTGGGCAGAGGTTCTGGGACCATTAATGAGCATGAAGAAGCTCAGCTTTCTAGATCTGACCTTAATCTCTGCACCATTTGCCACCACTGCCCTCCCTTCCCTCTCCTTGAAATCTCACTCTCATTTTCCTCCTTCCTCTCGGAATGCTGCTTCTCAGGCCCTCTCCTTCCTCTGTCCTTTAAATGATGATTTTCCTCCAGTGACTTTTCTTCCCTACAATTTACCGGTGGCTTTTAGCATGGGGGCGGGGGTGGGCAGGGGACAGGGGAGGTCAGTCAGGGCTCTCTTAAAGCAACACTTAAAAGATACCAACCCAAGACGCCTAGGTGGCTCAGTCTGTTAAGTGTCCGACTCTTGGTTTTGGTTCAGGTCATGATCTCATGGTTCCTGAGATGGAGTCCTGAGTCGGCTCCACCCACTCACAGATAGCATGGAGTCTGTTTGGGATTCTCTCTCTCTCTCTCTCTCTGTCTCTCTCTCTCTCTCTGTCTCTCTCTGCCCCTCCCCCACAAAAAATAAATAAACTTCAAGAGATACAAACCCTTTTCCAAGAACTATGCACACATGTACCTACACGTGTGTTTTTATCACACTTTCAGGAAGTCTCCAGACCCTAGAAGCCCAGCTTGGGACCATCTAGTCCCATGGCTTCAGTTATGTGCAAGCTTTCAGCATAGAATCTCCAGCCCTGCACTTCTTTCTAAATGTCAGCCTGGAAGCCTCTGGACCTCTCCACTGGGATGTCCCACAGGCCCTTTCAATGCATGGTGTTGATGATTTAATTAATCATTTCTCTCCCCAAACTCTTAAGCCAATTCTTTTCTACTTTTCTTTATTTTAGTGAATGGTGCCATCATCCACCCAGTTCTGGCTCAAGGCAGAAACCTGGCAGTCATCTTGGACTCCTCCTTAACTTACTTCCCATTTCTATTTAGTTGCCAAATCTTGATTATACTACTTAACCAAGGTTTCCAATCTTCCCACTTCTCTACAATCCCATTAGTACTGAACACTACCCTAGTTAGGACCGTTGTCATCTCTTGCTTGAACTCCTGCAAAAGCCCCTACCTGGTCTCCCTGCTTCTGGTTTCCCCATCTACAATTCTTGGCTTCCAAATAGTCTTCATAGAGTTACCAAAAAATAAGTCAAAACAAAATCATATTAAGTCACATTACTCCCCTGCTTAACATTCTCTGATGCTTCCCTACATCATTTATAATAAAAGTCAAACTCCTCTAACTCAACAACAACAAAAAAAACAACCAGTGGTCAAAGGACTTGTACAGACATTTCTTCAAAGAAGATGTACAAATGGCCAGTAAGCACATGAAAAGATGCTTAGCATCACTGATCAATAGGGATATGCAGATTGAAACTACAATGAGATACCACCTCACGTTCATTAGGGGGCTACTATAACACAAACAACAACGGCAAACAGAAAAGTGTTGGAGAGGCTATAGGGTAATTGGAACCCTTGTACTCTGTTGGTGAGAATGGGAAATAGTGCAACCACTGTGGAAAACAATATGGTGATTCCTCAAAATTTAAAAATAGAATTGGCATCTGATCCAGCAATTCCACTGTTGGGTGTATACCCAGAAGACCTGAAAGCAGGGTCTTGAACAGATATTTGTATACCCATGTTCACAACAGCTAAAACATGGATGCAACCCAAGGGTCTCCCAACGGATGAATGCATAAGCAACATGTGGTATATACATAAAATTGGAATATCATTTGGCCTTAAAAAAGAAGAAAGTTCTGACACATGTTC